TGAATTACTATAATACTAAAAACTTGCAAAGATTTTGTTTACTTTTTACTATTGTCAATGATTTTCAGGGGTGAACCAGTCCTGAAAATTGTAATTTTATTGTCCGGAGGAAAATTTTTACGTACGTAGTCAAATGACAAATTCATATTTATTACTTTTTTTATATAAATTTGATAATACGTAGGAATTAATGATTAGTGACATATTTGTTTCAAAATAAGTGATCTATAAATTCTTTTTTTTTTTTTTTTACTATATATGAAGATAATATTGTATCGTCAAAAAGTAATACGTACGTACTCCTATTTCGTTTTCTAATTTCGGAAATTCAAATAAGAAATACTGTATACGTATGAGTGCTGTCAATAAAAAACATGTCATCAGGCTTTCAATGTTCAGTTAGCTTTCTGCATGCTATAATAGATTGTCCGTAGACGGCATACAGAAAGCCAGCTGAACATTGAAAGCCCGATGACAGGTTTTCTATTGACGGCACTACCTCCTATCATTTTTTGTTTACAAGAGTCTAATATTATCTACTTATTGATAATTTTATGATTAATTTATTTTACCAATAAAATGTCATTGACTGAATTAACTGCCTTTTAACTAGGTATTAGGAGTATAAAACAAGGCAAGACGAGAAATTTGCTCTAATTTTAATTGCTTTTGCTTGGCGTCTTGAAGCCAAGTTAAATTTGATCAGAGTATACGCTCTTGCGAACTTGAAATTAACTATATAATAAATTTTACATTGTACCGAACTTAAACTATTCCCTTTCTATGATTTATAGTATAATCTCATTGGCTAAAATAAACCGTGATAATAAATTAAGCCAAAAAACCTGGAACCATTTTTTTTTCAAGGTTACTCTGATTGCTTAAATGATCACAATCATATTCTGAAACTGCTTGATAACAGCCTTAAACTCATGTGTTGCCAAAACCACGTATTAAATATAGAACCTTTTGTACATCCGAATGTAGGCTTTAAAAAATTATTTGAATACATGAGTCAAAAAAGAATGTTCTACCTGAACATTCTAGTCGTTTCGGTCACGTAATTACAAATCAGACATATCGATATATATAATTTTTAAACGCAAATTTCCGTTTAAATTACTTATGCCTGATTTGTTATCACGTAAATGAAACGATTAGAACATTCTTTTTGATCACTTGTATTCTATATAAACAATTTTTGAAAGTCCAAGTGAGCCAATTGTTTTGTAACAAATTATTTGTTATTTCAGTGTAACATCCCAATTTTCGCAAAAGTCGATTTAAAAATTGTGCTTATAAATTTTTACTCTGCAACACTTAAATGAGAGTTAACGGGTTGAGATTATTAAGATTGTAAATAATCGCGAAATCATTAAAAATAAGTTGTATTCTAATTTTAATATTATATTATTTGATTCTTAAAAATTTTTAATCACGCATTAATAATTTTACGTTTTTTTTTTTTTTTACACTAGATCTATATAAGTAAATTTTTTCGTGCTCTTGGTAAATTTACTATTTAATTATTGTTTCCTTTGGTGATATATCTACTTGCAGATTATCCTGGTTTGTTGTATACCTAATATTTAGTTTAGGTCAATTTCGACGTGGATTTATAGTTAATTCATCAGTAATTTAGGCAAAATAGGAGTAATCTGTTAACCCAAATTTAAAATAAAAGGACGTAATAATTTTTATGCGAAAGAAAATAATTTCATTTTGCAGGAATTGATATAGAGTTGTCACAAAATACTTTAGTAACACGACAGAATTCTTCAGATGTTAATTTCTCAGGCCTTAAAGAAAGATTTATATCTAACTGCTCCAAGCCTTTGATTAAACGATCTACTTCATCTACTGTAATTTTCTTTGTTAATGCTCTGGAGGCAACAAGATAAAATTAATGTATGTAAGTATAATGACATAAACTCAAATAAATAAATGTTACAAACTTTAAAAGTGATTGAATTGTCTTTCGTCTTTGACCAAAAAAGTAACGAACTACCATTTCATACTGATCAATAGGTACTAATTGTAGGATTTAAAAATTAGTATTACTTAACACGCTAAACATCCGAAGCAATTATAATTTTACCATTTAAAATAGGTTCTTTGAGAGCTACTAATTGAATCAAGGCAGCGTCAACCTATAAGATATACATATTATTTACACAATTTCATATTCATGAATGGTTTAAAAATAGAAGTCATAAAATTGTATACTTTCTTTGGGGCGAGGGACAAAAACACTTGAAGGCATCTGGTATACTTTTTTAGCTTCACATAAACTCTGTACTAAAACAGATAGACGGCTTCGCGCTGGACTAAAGGTATCCGCCACGATCCTCTTTTATGAAATGAAACCAGAGTTAACTATTGGAAATCATAAAAAAAATTAAAAAAAAAAAGAAGACTAACATCGCCAACTTCTTTTTGAAACATTAATGACATTGTAATATTAGAAATTTGAAATATTCCAGATCGTTTTGATAACATCTTCATCCATTGTACAAGCAATGGAGTTGAGATATTGAAAGGGAGGTTTCCAATCACATGTAATCTATTTTCTAGATGTAAATTTTATTTAAAAAAATAAAATATATTATTAACTATTTCAGCAAATGTAATTAAAATACCTTGGGATACTTTATTAATCTGCGCGGTTGCTAAAATTTTTTCATGATCTATTTCAAGTATGTCGCCTTGAATTACCTATTTTGAATGATAATATATATATATATATATAATGTAAAGTTCTATTTAGATCTATTTAATAATAATCTTGTTTCCATAAAATTTTGACAGAGAAATATTTCTTTTTTTCCCTACTTTAAGCGCATTTTTGGAAGCTTCCGACAATTGCTAGAAAAACTACAATTTAATTAATTATCACGAAATAAATAAATAAACAATACTAATAATAGATTCATTTTACTGTGAGAGCAGGTAAAAAACGAGCATCTTTCTCTATAACAATCATATTTGGCACACCCGTCTCTAAGATCGATCTCGTTAATAAACCAGGTCCTTGAAATAAATTTTTATTTTAGTATAAATTTAAAAAAAAACAGGTAGGCCTAGAAAAGTCTTTTATATTACCTGGGCCAACTTCAACAACAAATAGATTATTGGAATTAATCATTGCATTTTTTACGATCTTATCTTTTCAATAAGAGGTGTAGGTTCTTATAATTTTTCGTATACATACATATATATTATATATGAATTTAAAATAATATAATATTTTTACCTGTAATATTTTTATCTAAAATAAAATTTTGACTCAATTGAGATTTTGCTGTTAAATTATACATCTTTACTAAATCGCGAACTGATAATAATCTAGGAAGATTTTTATTCATCTTAAATGGAAAAGTAGATTTGACGATACCGATACAAATCTTCCTAATTTATTTATCATCAATTATATATGTCACATGAATTTCTTGAGTGCTTAGAATAAATATTAGATTACTGTACTTTTATCTAAAACGAGAGCATGATTAATTAAGAATTTAGAATTAAGAATAAAAGATTGAATCAACCTAAAAAAAAAATCTTCTATTTGAAAAATGCTTAATACTTATAAAATTTAGAAACTATTTTGAAAAATAGATGGAAAAATGTAAAAAATGTTTATTAAAAAAATTCGCAAAAAAAAAAAAAGAATGTCATTTTCATGTGGTGAAATAAACAGTCACTTTACTAATCGTTTACTCATCAGAAATATTAAAGGTTTAAAATATATTACGAATCTATAAGAAAAAATGCACTATGAAGTCTCTTCCAAGTCGTTCAAAAAATTTTTTTCTTTGGTTCACTGGGTTTTGAAAGTGAACGTTGGTATTAAAAAAAAAATCTTTATTCGTATTTTCTAAGATTCACCAATAAATTTAAACTTGTATTATTTCAAATTTTGATAATTTGAAAATTTCATAAATTTTTTTTTAATTCTAAACCATAATAATTAAATGTAAAAAAAAATATCCAAGTGACATTATCAAACTATAAATTTTATTCTATTTGGGCAATTGGACAAACTTCGCTTTATTAAATTTATAGTAGAGTAAGTCAGTAGAAACGCATCAAATTCAAAAAACTTCTTTAAAAAAAGATTTATTGCGTTTCTACTAGGCCTCCGCACGGGCCGGTCCATGGGCCTTTTTTGAAGCTAATTTGAGCCATCCCCTCAAAGTGCTGGTCATATGGCGAATAATCATATGACTAGCACTTTGGGAAATGACCCACATTAACGTTAACTTCAGAAAAAGCCCATGGGTCGGCCTAGGGATGGCAAAAAAACAAGTTTTTTTTTATTTTTTTTGTGTTTAAAACATTTTTTGTTTTTTATTAATGTTATATAAAAATATTGCATCTGAAATTGCAACCTATCTTAAAGTTGCTACTTTAGATAAATAAAGTAGCATCTAACCAAAATTAAGCTCTAAAATTGGATCTTTATACATGTAGTTCTAGCCAGGTGCTGTTTAAATATTTAAAGTAACAACTTCGGCTACTTCAGATGAGACATAATCATATGATTAAAATTTATAATCTGATTGGCTTGTAATAAATATTTAATTTTTATTGTTTTTTATTAAAAAGTTAAATATTTTAAAACATTAAACCATGTTTTAAAACATGACGTTTTAAAACACTAGGCCGGCCCATGCTAGTTTCTACTGATTAATCTCCAGATTTTGATTTTAAACGTATAAATCAAATTTTCAATTCAAATTACTAAACTTGTAAAAGTGTCCAATACTGCCTGAAACCCATTAGTTCATATTTTTCTCTTTTATAATATTATTTAAAAGTTATACGCAGCTTTGGTGATTATTATATGACTTTTGTACTGCATCTTATTTTTTCAACGAGCATTTCAAAGTTATGTTGATGGTTTAAACAGCTTTTTTTTAAAACATCTCTTATTAAGAAATTATTTAAACCAATTTACAAATTCCGTTTATGAATTTTATTGTAGTAGAATCTTTGTAAAATCAAAAAACAAAATCTATTCTAATCATTATTGTTAATTATATTATTATTAATTTATAAGCATGATACATAATTTCACCAGCAATCAGTATCTGAAATCACATGAAGGCCAGCCTATGTAATTACGGATTTAATTATCGTTTATGATATATATTTAATATGTAAAAATTATTAAAAAATATAATATATAAGTGTATTTTTTTTTTTTTTTTTGAAAAATAAATTAATTCATAATTAAATTAACATCACTATTATCACTTTTCTTTTCGATATTTATGAATCCATCTAAACTGGGGTTTGAAGAGATATTTTGAGCGTATATTAAGAATTTATGATTGATTCGTTTGAATGTTTTCCTGTTATTTCTACTATTTTACTCAATGTTTCATTCCTGACACCATCCGGAAGGGCAAAGGGAAGAGTAACTTTATATCCTTGAATTGGTACATTCAACCATGGAACATCATCTCCAGTCTTCGGTTCGACCGAAACTCCTTTAATAGTTATAGTTTCATTATTACGTAATATCAGTTTAAGAAGTGTTAACCAGCCATCAGGAAAATTTGGTGTAAGGACAAAAGAAACATTTTGTGATTGTTTGGGTTGCAATATAAGATCATCGGCAACTAATGGTCCGATATCACCTTCTGATGATGTCAAATTGAAGTTCACTTTTCCCATATCGGCACCAATATGTGAAGGATTAGCTATAGTGCTTGTTATTAGAATTGTAGTATTACTTGGAATTTTAAAGTCAATAAGTTTTACGTCCTGTAAACCATTGAAACCATCAATAGTAAGTTCCTTGTTCATCTTGAGATTAGGTATCGACTTGCCTAAGGCTGACACTGTTAAATCATCAGCACTAATACTAAATTTAATTTGAGGAAGTAATAGAACTTCTGCGGAGAACGTCAAAAAGCTTGTAGGATCGGTAATGCTAAATCTGGAATCAGAAATAAGTGGCACTTCACTGCTGTTACCAGTGATATTTGTAGGTGGCATCGTTAGTGAACCAAGTGTTTTATTATTAAAACTAAGAGCCAAACCACTCGGATATGTGATGGACGATTGAAGGGTTCCGGCATTTGCAATTTTACCAACCGTATGAGTAGAAAAGTTTTTAGCATATTCGTCAGTGATGAAAGAAGATGTCATTGTAATTACACTCTTGTCAATATTTGCCTGAGCAACTGGTCTGGCAAGTACATCCATTAATAAAAGTGCAGATTCGTCAAATATAACGGGCAAATTATTTACTTTAAGTGGTAATGGGAGTGGCCCATATTGATCCATTGTTGTATTTGCTTGTTCTACAGTGAGATCAACTTTCATTTGTTGGAGTATGTACAGGATAACGTCAGTAAGGTTATCGCAAGACGGTTTTGCTGAAGAATCAAGTACTGGTGGTGCTGCTGGTGGTGGGGGTACATCTCTCTTGCGAGTTGAGTCATCACCTCCTGAGTTATCAATTTCTGTGAACGGGAGCGTACAATTAACACCTGCATCTTTAGCTGCAAGTTTAATTATATTAATAAGGTCTTTAGGATTGAGATTAAGAGTTGTATTTATCGCTGGTGATGTTGTTTTACTTTTTCCAATAAAAGTAATTGGAGGAGTTGTAGGTTGATTGATCGATCCAAGAAGGATATCATGAAATGTGATTGTACCGTTTATAACACCCGTAAGTGTGATGTCAGCTGTAAATGGGTTGTCCATTGTGATATTACCTGAAGCAATACTATTATTGATTGTGTCTGGATTAAGGTGAACAAATGCTGAAACTATCAACGGCTTATCTAAGCCTAGCAAATCTTTTTGAAGCTTTAATGCAGAAAATGCCTCTTTCAAACTATCTACTTTTGTTGAGTTCTCTGTACCAACAATAACTGTTTCTTGCTTTTGACCCGCGATATAGTTTGCAAACATCGTTATAGCGGCTTGAATAGCGTCTGGTGTTTGTGGTGCGAGTGTGACTGTAGCATTGATATTATTAACTCCTGGAATTATATTTAGACCCGTCATAGTAGCGAATCCTAGTTTTTGATCTTTAAAGATAAAATCGAAAGCTACATCACCAACATCGGTTGAAACGGTTGATGGATTGAATAAAGATGTGGTAATATCAATAAGAAGGGCTTGAGGCGTGCCGCTTATAACATCTATACTATTTACGGGTGTGTTGTTCGTGGTAAAACCTTGGAATCCAGGTAACGTGCTTTTGACATCCACAGGAATGGTATTCAGTATTATAGGTCCCACAGCTGTTAGAGTGTGAGCTTCGGTAGTTCCTTTAAGACCAAAACCTATTGAATCTTCAAGAGTTAGAACTTTAACAAATGAATTAAATTTATCATGTGCATCAGGAAAGACTTGTAATGGAGCGCTGTCATATGAAACAGTAACAGTTCCAGTATGAGCTTTACTATCAATATTTGAAATTGCACCGCTTAGGGGAATGACGAGTTTGGCCATATCATCTAAAGTAACTTCTTGTGCAATTTTTGAAATGTTCAATGTAAATCCGAGAGGTTGTGGTATTTGTAAGCTGGCCGTGATTTTTTTTGAAGAAGTGTTAGGATTATATGCAGTTTCTGGTGTAAAGGCTAGTTCAAGATCATCTAGGCTTATACTAGTAATAAGAGGTGGAAACTTTTGAGCTGGAAGAACTGTATCTATTGTAAGGCTTCGAACTCCAGAAACAAGCCAACTGATTGGAGGGTTAAGATCTGTACCCTTTGTTGAGAGAGGAATTTCCTTTACTGCAAGAAATTCGTTGAATATCTGTTGAATAACTTCTAAGCCATCATCACTTGTTTGAGGAATTAAGCGACCGTTTAAGTTAAGACTTATAGCATCATTTGGTTTAAGGACAACATCATTAGCAGCAACTTCGCCAATTTTGGTATTGTTAGAAACAACATCGAAGAAAAGCTCTCCAAGTTCCACGCCGATTGTACCAGGATTTGAAAGTGTAGCAGTAATAGCGGTCGAAATTCCACCTTTAGGATCATCTCCAGGAAGTGCAAAACTGGTAATATTAACAGCATTTTTGAATCCATTTGCACCATTTAATTGAACATTTTTATCAAAAGATATATTTTTAATGTCGATGCCAAGCGCGCTAACAGTAATACTTGGTGAAACCATTGACCATGAGATTTTATCTGCCTGTAAGAATTTTTGAGTAAATTCTGCTAAAGCATCTTTGTCACTAATTGTAAATGGGGATGTTATGTCAAGTTCTGTACGTTTTCCAGTAAGGGTAATGGTTGGAAGATTAACAGTACCAAGTGTCGCACCGCCAAAAGTTAAAGCAACACCATTTGGAGTAGAAATTTGACCAGGAATGTCCACATTAATATTGAGTTCTCCATTAATTACAGTAGTAAATCCGGTTTCACTTGGTTTTTGAATTTGAACACTAGAGAATGAAATTTCTGATCCATTTACTAAATTTTCAGCAACTGGTATAGAAAGATAACTAACCAAGATTGCAAGACTATCATCAGTGTGAGCAGTAACATTTTGTGTCATAGGCAACGTTATTTCATATTGATCATCAAATGACACATCAGCAAAAATGGTCATGATTGTGTTAATATCACCTATAACAGATTTAGCATAATCAAGAACATTAAAATTTTTGAAAATGTCCGTATCAATTTTTGTAATATCTATTGAAGGTACCCCTGGAACCTGAATTTGACCTATATTAATTAAGATATCAATTACATCGGTAGATATATTTTTTAATTCAGCTTCTTGACGTAAAAGACCAAAGAGTACAGCAGGGTCAAGGTTAAGTGTTATAGGCAAATTGGTAACAGTTGATTGTTTTCCAGGAATTTCAATATTAAGATTTGATTGAGAGACTGTTGCAAGCGCAAAATCACCGGCAGTAATGTTTGATTGAATCGCTCGAATAGTTAATTTAGCATCGAGAGGATTTGACATAGTCACATTTCCTTGGGCTACTCCATCTTTTGGTGTAGTATCAAGAATATGTAAGGTTGAAGCAGCAACTATTGGTTGGGACAAAGGTACTAAGGTTGAATTCATAGTTAAAGTTTGAAACGCAAGTTTCAAACTATCAATATCGGTTGAACCATCAAAACCTGAGACAGTTACAGTCGAATTGATATTGTTAAGGAAGTTGGATAAAAGTAGATAAGCTTCGTTAGAATTTTTTGGATCCATAGTTGATGTTAGATAGACATTACTAGGACCAGGGACAAGTGACAAGTTTCCTGTGGCTAAACCAACTTGTGCATTTTCATAAGAAATTTGAAAAGTCGTATTATCAAGCGAAATTGATGTAGTTGAAGTGTCATATATAGTAGCATTAATTCCAAGGACCAGATAATTTGGAGTAGCACTAAGAACTGTTACATTATTAATAATAGGTGGAATTTGGGAGAAATTGGAAAAACCTCGTAATGTAGTGGGAACTGTAAATGGAATTTGTTCAATTGGAATTTCTCCTAAAAGTGAACGAGACAAAATAGTAGCTGAACCACTTATATACACTTCTTCTTGATCAACTTTTGTTAAATTGGCTAAAAATTCGCCAAATAACTCATTTTTATCAGGAATCGCATAGAGTGTAGTTGATGGAGAATTAAAACGGATTTGGCTACCATTATCACTGTCCACACTAATGACACTGGTATTAAGATAAGCAAATGCTTGACCGTCTTGAGTGAGAAGCGAAATATTTTGTGAAACTTGCAATATCGTTGAGTTAATTTTCATAGGTAAAACATAACTAGAAGTAATATTTTGAGAAGAGAATAAAGGTGCATAAGCTGGTTGTCCAACAAAATTTATACCAGGGCTACCAAGATCTACGCCTGTAATTACTTGAGTTCCAAGAGAGCTATTACCGATAACGGCGTTCAACGTCATTTGAGTGATTACTGACGTAAGCCATGATACAGAATTTTTATAATCTGGATATGCATATACACCTTTCGCCTGTGTTATTATTGGATTGTTTGTTATATATGCTTGCATAACTTTACCTAAATTACTAAGATCTTGAGGAGAACTTGGCCCAATTACATAACCACTCATGGAAATATTGTTTACACCAGGCTGTAATATGAAATCATCAATTGTCATATTTGCAATGTTAGATCCATTATAAGTAATTAATTCACCTAATTGTCCCATATCTACATAAAAAATAGAAGGATTATATAATTGAACAACATGTGATATCGCTATGATTTGAGAACCTTGAGAATCTGCCTCTTGAGTGATATTTAATTGTATTACATTGACATTAGGAAAATTATTACCACCAACTAATATGACTTCCTTATCTAAAACTAAACCGCTTTTTGTTATACCCATAGCTTTTACACGAGCAGATCCTTTGAATCTAATTGTTATATTATCCTGCGTGAAAGAATTTAGTGAAAAGTTTCCAAAAACATCTTTGTTTGTAATTTTTACATCTCTTTGGTTTAATAAAAGATCGGCATAACCACCATTAGATGAGATAGGGTCAAAATAAACTTGAGCCATCTCTTGATCATTATAGATCATAGAAATAGGATCATCGAAAGATATTGTTGACGCAAAAGGACCAGCATTGGTAACATTACCATCAGAGGACATTGCTACACTTTCTTCGCGAATATTTGTGAGATTTATATGATTAATATTTAATCTAGAGCTGTTAATGGCAGATTGAGCGATTGCGGGAAAAATGGCGAAAATAAATAAGGGAATAAATATGGCCGCGAGCACTAAATTTACGGCAACATATATAACCCAGAAACGTTTTCGACGATAGAAAGGGGTAGAGGAGCCTTCTTGTGATCTTTGTTTACTTGAAAAAGTATTCGTTCGAGATTCTCCAATTCCACTGCTACTGCTACCTACAACGTCGGTACTGTAGGTAATGACCGAATCTCGCACCGCAGAACTCTGTGTGATAGAAGTACGTGGGTGGACTGGGGTAAGAGGTTCTTCGTCTGTCATTTTTTATGTTCGCTTCTATAAGATTGTCTATTATTCATTCAGCCACCAAAGATCCTACGTGTATGATAGCAGCAATTAAAGGTTCCAACACCTTGGTGTTAAAGAAAGCTCTGATTTCAAGGGTGGAACCAAAGAACCAAATCCAAAAATCGAAAAAAAAGAAAAAAAAAGTAAAGTCTTTTTACGGCGTAACAGAAGTAAAGCTTTGAAAGACAGGAAGACAAAGTCGAACTGAGTGCATTGATATAGGGCGCAAAAAAAAAAAGGCGAAACAAGCCATCATCATTGATCCCGAAAATCTCTTCATAAATTACAGTTCAATTTTCACGTTGAGTTCGATAATCCAATTTGGATTGACTTTATTAATCATATGATAGCTACGTACTTCCCTCACTTTTTTTTTTGCAATATAAAATTCATACTAACGCTAAGTAGAAAGATTGACAGTGCAAAGTAAATCGGTAATAATAAATTAAAAGATGATGAACACTTTCTCGAATTACTTTTATGTTACCATCGAATAATTCGTACGCCTTATATCGTATAGCGCAAAAGCTTCTCACGGGAAAATTTTATCACGTTGGGATGTGTTTCATTTCATTCAGTATGGTTAAAAAGAAAATCTTTTTTTTTCACATGAAATTTTTTTCAGTTAACTCCATCATTTTTACAGAAAGTCATAAAAGTCGGAAAATACAAGAAACACACCGAGTAAATCTTATATATTGATCACATACTACATAATATGCCTTTTTCAAAAATTTTGAATGCTAGATATATCTATATCTGATATATAAATTTATTAGAAAGGTAAAAAAAACTTTTTTTACCCCGCGTTCTACATTTATGAAACAAATCAGACAATCATATATTATTTTAGTTTTTATAATCATATCATACACAATATTATTATCAAGTATAGTACGTATGTACCTTTAAAGTTCGTAATCTATAAACCAAAATCCTTATCTACTAAACATCGTCATCAGTGTTGGCAATTTTATCGGCCAAACAAAATTTGGTTGCCTTTTCGGCAAAAAAATATATGAATTTGGCCGGCCAAAAATATGTTTGCCGGTTAAATTGCCAACATGCTTTAAAACCAAACTTAAGCATTAAGCAACCATCAAGTATATTCATACTTTGTAATCTATTTATACATAACTTTTTCATAGACTACTAAGTGTGTCAATTAGGAGCGTTTTTTTTTTTTTTTTTGCTATATTATTTATTTTTTAAAATTAGGTTTAATGATTCTGTGGAGAAATGCATAGAGGTCGATCTCACAAAGTCGACTTTAGCTAGTCGAAAGCATGATCAACTAAAATCAGCGTGTTTGATTAATACAGTCGATCTATAAGGCGCTCACTATAAGTGCTAGAAGTGCGCACATCATTTAATTTATTATTATATACAATACGTAGATTTCTCCATAAGTGCGTTTTTTCTCGCACTCATGAATTGACTATATATGCTAGTTGTTAGAATATGAGATCAGACGTATTTAATCGACTGATTGATTGATGTCATCAACTGCGAACTAATTTGTAGGGTTGTCGGGATTGGACCGGGAACATCTTTTCAGCCCTAGTAATTGCTACCTTCAATTTCTGAAACAAAAAGTTATTTCATTATAAGTCTGTTTTAGCGTATGTTAAAATTCAGAAGCTTTTTCTTTTTACCTTCGAAGCGTTGCTGAATTAATTTCTTGAATAGCGTCTTTCTGGTACTCTTCTGATACTATTATGTTCTTAAAAGTACTCTAAAAGCATATAAATTAATCGATCATCACGAACGTCGTCGTATCACTACTGATTATATTAAAAAAACTTATAAAGGCATCCATATTTGGACCCCGAAATAAAAATGCATAAGATACGTAATCAGAAGAATCTTCCTTAGCATAATAATTAGGGACATATTGATCCTTAGGGATGGAAAACTCTGGTCCGGTCCGACCCGACCCAAAAGTTGAGTCATTATCAAAGTCAAACTTAAGACACGCATCTTATATATTGAAGTATAGCGTAACAATCGCAGAAATAAAGAGACATATAAGCATGTCAAACTTGTCAAGTATGTATGAATACGTATTTTTTTATGTCATCCAAGTTTGACTTCAGACAGATTTTGAATACTCGACTTTTGGACTTTTCACATCCTTACCTAACTAAAGATGTGTAAGGTAACAAAAATTTTTTACCTCCTTATTTTTACGTATTACAAGTCACTCTTGGTATAATTAAGTGATCAGGCTGTGAAATTTCTTCACTATATCGAGAGTCTATTAGTAAAATTCACTATATCGGTAGGGTTTTATATAGACTGTTCCTCACTATACTTATATCGAGAGTTCACTATAACGAGAGTAACTTGTATTGCTAATTATTGCTTATTACGATTGATTATTTTTTGTTACGATTTACAAATGAAATTACCAAGTTTTTACTTACATTATGTAAAAAAACTTGTTGGTAATATTTGTTATAATAAGCAATCATACATAGTACAGTCGCCCATCTCTACTTTTATCGGCCCGAAAGGCCAAATAATGGACAAGAGATTTTGTGATTTATTGTGATTAAACTGTGTTCTCATAAATTCTAGGATAACTGATAAAATTTTATCCGATAATAATTCGGCCGAAATTCGATGAATTCCACAAGGAAGTAAGCAGTCTCATGATCTTGACAAGTATATTTTCATCAATAAGCAAGTTCATTTGTTGTACACAAAAATTATCTTCAAAAAAATTTATGACTACATTATTTGTTAACTATTCGAAGTCCTCGTGCAATAAATGTTTATAGATTTTAATCCAGTATCACTTGTCCTTTTCTTCAAAAGCATTAAAAAGCTCTTGTATCTCACATTGTTTTTTCAAACAAGATATTTTTAATATTTATAAATTCATTTTTTAGTGAAACTAAACTTGTACATCAAGCCAATACTGTATGCTCAATTTATGACTAAGGCTGTTCTTTCAGCTGGGCAAACTTCACTTGAATTTTTTTAAAAAGTTTTGAATATAAGCTAGACTCTAATAATAAATGTACCTTTTTAAAAGTGATGAAAGCCATTGCTCAATCTACAGAAACTTGCTAAAGTTTTGATTATTATTCGAATTGGGAATTTTATTTCAGTTACATAATAATAAATATATCATGTAACGGTAACGATAATAAATCCTAATAATAATATTCTAATTATACCCAAGGGTAAACGTTCTAATCTTCTTGGGTATAATTAGAATATTACAATAAGTCAATGTTAATATTGCAGCATTGATATCTTAATTTTGCTATACTCTAAGTAATAATAATACTGTATATTGTGTAGTGTCACTAAATATTAATAAGTACGATCAAATACAGCAAATAATTTAATCCTATCATGTTATAAGTGGTTTCATAAGTGTTCCATAAGCAATTTATAATCCAGAAGACAATCAGCCACATTTGTAAAATTCGATTTTATATGCATACACTGGTTCGGCAGGCATTTAGATAATTTGAACATAATTCAGTCAGAAATTATGAAACAATTTTTACGCGGTTAAACGATTCCAATCAACCCCCTAGCGCAACCTTAGGTAGCGCACCCACAAAAGTTGAATTTTACTGAGAATAAAACAGCGTTGTAGCTAGGGTTAGAGTAAAAAATGGCCTTCGATTGTTTACGTTACATCTGATCTTGAAATTTGATTGGCCAAAAATCACGAGAGGAAACAATTTTTGTGGCATATGGGCTAATTTTCGAATTGAGAGTCACAAATTTTAGTTTAAACCCTAGTTTAATTTTTTGATTGGTCTGATGGATTCTTAGGGTGATTGTTTTGATTTAATGAGGGAGGGTCTATTCTGCACGATTCTGATATGCATAAAACCCATCAGATTATCGTAAAACCCGTCTAATTATTAGCCTGGGCCTACTAAGACATGCTATTTGACTTTGTTATTGTTATGAGTAAATGGCCACTATCGCTATGTAGATCAAATCTATACATAGTTCCATATAAAAATCATAGATAATTTTTTCGTGTAACAATCACGGTGGTTAATGAATTTTACGTACGTACGAAAATTATTAATATTACTAAAAATTCTTAAAAATAATGCTCTATTTGTTTTAAAATACAGGTAATTGAGCAAAATTTTAGCTAATTAATATGTAACTTACAAAGGAGATACAATTTGAAATTTGATAATTTTTTATAATCGTTTCATATAAGATTTTTAAACTTCAAATTGTATCTCTGTAAATTACATTCTAACTATTTTTAAATTTTGCTCAATTCTATATTTTAAACCAATAGAGCTTTTTTTAAAAAAAAAATTTTATTAAAAATAATCTATTTGTCACAGCACCTGGATTTTATTTATAATTGTATTTAGGATTAAAAGGTCATAGTATGTAGGAATATTTTTTGTTAAGTCACGGAAGTTGATTTCATAGACATAATTTTGGTTTAAAAAATTTGTGATTTTTGTAACTGCCGGCGACAAATAGATTCGCCCATGATCAAGTTAAAAAAACCATCACTGAGTCACGTGATCTGCTTCGTTGACCTTACTACCTTCATATACCAAAAGACTACTAAAAAGTATTGTCAAACCCATAAACCTTTGTTTACGATTGACGCTAAACCGGACTTGACTTCCGAAGCTCTCCCAATCGGTGGAAATCATAATTAAACGGAGCCTCCGGCATTTTATAGCGATAGCGATAGGATTTTGTGCTCTGGTTCCGAACAACGGGCGTAGGATCGATTTCTCGTCACATGATTTCTCGACGTCAATTAACCAATCAAAAATCAGGATTAGGTATAACGTAAAGAAATTCACAACATTCGCTTTGCAAAAATCGCAAATTTAGTAGTAAATCGATCTTTTGACACTTCAAAAAATTTTCTAACTATAATGTAGCTCTTTCTAACCATAAATAAATAAAAGTATTTTGTTCGAAGACTATTGACATCGGAAAATCACGTGACCGGAAAT